GACTTCCCGACTGCAGGAATCCCATGCGAACGTATCGAAAACGACGTCAATCCGCTGCGGCATATAACTCGTCGCGAAAGACGCACAGCGCTCGTACAGCAAAAAAAAAAACTGCAGGGAGGAGTGATTCTGCAAACAGTAATCCGCGCCTAGAGAGACAGCCGGAGAGCCACGCAAATTGGATGCGAGCGCCGCCTGGAGGAGAAACAGTTACGTCTAAAACTGCGACGTTAAAGATATGGTAAGTTATAGAGCCCCAGGTAAACCGCGCAGGCGTGCGTAGGAATAAGAATAAAATAGAAATAAAAAAAGCTCCGGGACATCAGAGAAGCTCGAGAGAGGCAGAGCTGGGTTATCCAGGCAGGCTGCCGGCGAGGTCGAAAACAAAACGGCGGCGCAATGAAATAAGAAACAAAACCACCGCTGGAAGAAAGACGCGGGCGGCGCTCGCGGCACTGAAGAGGTTCCTAATCCTCTTAGCATGGCCGTATTTCCCAATAGCGCTCGTCTATATCCCCTTTAGCTTCTCAGCGCCCGTCTAATCCGGACTTAAATAAAACATGGGAAGGCCTAATGTAGTCAAGAGATTAGGCCAGCCCGGGGAAGGGAGGGTGGGGGGGGGGGGGGGAAGGTGAGCGCCAAACATCCGCTGCTCGCCGGGGTCGCGCCTTGTTCTGTACACCACCGTACTACACACACACACACCGGCCCGAGCATGCACAAACAACACACACGAACAGCGACACAAACCCGGAGGCACGATCCTCCACCGCCGCCGACCGCGCGCAAGATACGGCATAGCTGCCCGCATCTTTATACCCTACTACACACTGGGCCTGCTTCGGAGTGTATACCGGTTGTCTGCACGTACAACCAGCGTGGCCACCCAGCGTTGAAGTTCGGCGTTTTGAGGTTACCGGAGCCGCGGACGGTGAAAGCACCGCCGGAGGCAACTACCAGGCACCAAAATTGTACGTCGACAAATTGCTAAGGCATTATCCACACAGCTGCCTCTAGCAGCGGTCGTGCAAGCCAAGCGTCCGGTCGCAAATTGTCGCACCGATCCCAGAGGAAGGGAAAAACAAAAACAAACGAGGGAGCATTACTTCACGCGATTGAAGCCTGCCGCGTCGGCCTAACGCGTGATCAAAACGTCAGAGCATGCGGCAGGTTTTTAGTATACTCTCAGTGGAGTTACTTTTTCGAACCTCCTCCGCGTGAGCCGGCCGGTCTGGGCTGATAGAGCGCGATTGGATTGAAAGCTCACTGCTTGCGAGACCGTGGCGCAAAAGATCACGTGCTGGCTCGACACTGCTGGCTTCTAGACGCGTTGCTTTACAAAGGCTAGCGCCGTGACGTAATGCTACGTCTTTTCTTTTTCGTTCCTCTGTGGCAAAGCTATGATTGATTTGTGGGGTTTAACGTCCCAAAACCACGGTATGATTATGAGAGACGCCGTAGTGGAGGGCTCCGGAAATGTCGACCACCTGGGGTTCTTTAACGCGCACCCAAAATCTGAGCACACGGGCCTACAACATTTCCGCCTCCGCCGGAAATGCAGCCGCCAAATCCGGGATTGGATCCCGCGACCTGCGGGTCAGCAGCCGAGTGTCTTTGCCACTAGACCACCGTGGCGGCGCTGTGGAAAAGCTATACACTTACTGCCGCTGGCTGCTCGATTTGTCCGTCTCGCGACCGCAGTCACACGCCACTGAACCAATCACACGCGCGGGAACGGGACGTCCGCCTATTCGTGGCAACGCGGGCCACGGTGCGAAATGACGCGAAGTGCGGTGACGGGAGCGTTGCTCTCGCTCGATTACCGTAAGTCATTTTTTTTCTTTTTTGGTCACCAGTTAGAAACGGTCACGCGATCCGGTGCTAATCGCAGGTGTGAATAAGTATTTAGAAGTAACCCATGAGGTGTGAGGAGTTACCAGGTTCACAGGCCTCCACAGCGTTACCCCAAGTGGTTGAAGCGCGCCAACAGCGAAAACCGGGCGGCTGATTTAAACAACGCAACACGCCACAATAAGAATCGAATATTCGATCGAACAATCAATAAAATGGAAATGAGTTTCCCAGACATTTATTTAGACGAAACAAACACAGAAGTCGAGACATTCGGCCATCCCGACTGGACTTGACTGAGTGGCGACCAGGAGTATTTCTACTTTAAATTCTGGAAGCGAGGCAACGCTATTTTCAGTGCTCTATGGCACACACATGTAATTAAACGAGTTGAGCGTTGATATATATTACCAAGCATTCATACAGTAAAAAAAAAGACGAGTGTTGGCGATTTATCTAGTAAGGCGTCACCTTGGGAACCTTAATTGCGCGGGGAACGAAACATCAGAGCGACACACTGGACAAGGTTTGTCCCATTTTTCTCTACATTAGGTGCCTCATCTCCAGCGCAGTTCAATTTCACGAACAATATTCTTACGCTGGCTGACCTTTAATCTAATGCTGACAACATGCGCAAAAAAAAAAAAACACTGAACAAGCTGGGCGCGTACAGCGGGATTTGGGTGCAAAGGATGAGAAGGAAAGGTGGTTCGAAATGGCGAAAAAAGGAGGCTCGACGGATTATCTGTCACCTCTTCCAAGGTGTTGCGGCGATGGGCGAGCTTCCTCTGCCACCGTTCTCTTTTTCCTCCCTGCTCCAAATGCGGCTGCACGGGAGTGGGAGGCAATGTGTTCTTTTTTTTTTTTCGTCGGCGCTCAGTCGCTTCGCTATCCGCGCGCTTAATCTCGTCAAGGTGAGACTTCTATCTACGTCGCCGAGTCGAGCCAAAGCCGGGCCCGGGGCCCCTTTTCTCTGGCAGCGCCGAGGAACCAACACGGGTCGAACAACAGGATCGCGCGACGAGCTTATCCTCCAGTCGTCTCTCCTCTCCTCTAACTCCGTTTTATCCCGTCCGCTAGCGCCTCTCTTACGTCGCCACCGTATGCGCGTACAGGATAAGGCGCAGTTATGCAGCGGGTCAGGGAGGAGGAGGCGAACAACTGAACAAAAAAAAGGAAGGGGGAATCGAACATCACCCGGCAGACTCCCGTTTACCCCATATTTTCCCTCGCTAAAATTTCATCTCCACGCATCCTTTCTATGAAGAGAGGTGCAGACACGAAGGAGAATGTCACGCACACAAAAAGGGAAGGAAGAGGCAAATATGGCGCGAATCATCCAACGTGGGAGAGAGCGATAAACGGGATAAAGAAGAGGGAGTGGGAAAAAAAAGAAAGAAGCTGGCAGTACACGCCTCGCAAATCCCGTTATCCGGGCCTGGAATCCGGCGCGGCTCGGCGGCAAAGGCGCGGACTTTAAAATGCGGCGAAGACGAGAGACTCGAACGCGCTTTCCTGCAACGCCAGTCATCGCGCCGCGTGTTGTGCTCTTTTACTTTATTCCGCGCGCACCCTTTCGCGTTTTGAATCTAATGGAAACGTCGCTCATCATATACACGAAAAACCGAACGCTCCTGCACCGAGCAGGGAGGTGTAAAACGACGACGCCCCGTAAAGAAGCGAACGAAGGCAAGTGAATCATTCCAGCGTCCCTGCGGCTCCCGATAAACAGCCACGAAGGGAGACTTGCTCTCCCTTTCAACACACAAACACACAAACACACACACCTTTCTGTCCGCACGTGCCCCTTATGACTGTATATATCCAATACACGCGCACGCGCGCCCGTTTCGAGGATTAAGAAAACCCTCGAGGGCATGCGAGGAAAAAACAAAACAAAAACAATTTGCTCTGCAACGACGAAAAAAATTTCCAGGGAGACTCCTCGCATGCTGGGGCCGCATAACGTTCATGCCCTTTCTTTAACGCGAGGAGGCATGCACGCTCGCTTATTTATTTACCCTGGTAAGTGCGTAGACGCGTCTCTCGACTTATTTGCTTTCTTTCGTTAGTCTCGTAGAAACGGCAAAAAAAAAAGGGCGCAAAGCGCTAAATACGCAAATTCGCCACACGCCTGTTGTCTCGGAATCATCACCAGCTACGGATAACGCCGGCCATTGTGAAAACAACGTGACTCTCAAGGCAATAAGTTCATTATTAAAAGAGCGAAAGAACATACAAATGAAATCAAATTCGAGCGATATCAGTTCACGGTGTTTGTTATCAATGCGTGTGCGTGGGCCTCACTGCACATAGATTTGTGTCAGACCTACATGCCTAGGTTCGCGCACGCCAGAAATTGCTGTTGCGGACCACTTTTGGAGAATGCAACAATTGTCACTAAATCTGCAGCGGCAGGCTCGGGAGGGAAATCGTCGAAGCTGGCCAGATAAAACAAGCCATCACACGTGAGTCTGAACGATCGTCAGTCGTGAATACGGACAATCTGTTGTATCTGGCAGGGAGTTAGTGTACTATAGGAACTTTTTGGTGCGTCTGCATATGAGCTTAGTTTGTCACGACGCAAGGGCACCCACTCCACTTTCTTGGAACACTTTCAATGAACTTCAGTTGTAAGTGATCAGCCGACTTGTCCACCGCGTTACTTCCCGCAGAGTGTTTTATTTCACTTCCAAGATTTCAGAACGACGCACGAACTGGCCCAACATAATAATTTAATATTAATATCTGGAATTTTCCTCCCCGAAACTATGGTATGATCAGAAGGAAAGCCGCAGCAGAGAACTGCGGAAATTTCGGCCACCCGAGGTTCCTTCAACGTGCGCCGACATATACACGGGCCTCTATATCTCGCCTTCACCAAAACGCGACCACCGAGGCGGCCGGAATCGAACCCGCGACCTCAGGGTCAGCAGCCAAACATCGTATAACCACCGATCCTCCGTCGCGGACGACTAACCCCAGAGGTCAAGGCTTGTGCAAGATAAGTCTGGGTGCATCGGTTGGCAATTTACGAAATGCAACACACACACACACACAAATGGATTCCATCGATCTGAGCGCGCGAGTTCCACTCTCACACGTCCTTCGCGAAGTACCGCGTAAACGCGTATATAACATACGCTCACCTTTGGCGCAGATGGCCTCGGAGGGCGAATAGCCGAGCTTCGTGAGGGCCGTCCGCACCAGGTCGACGAACAGGGCGGCGCTGGGCACGATGGCGTAGCTGTCCACCTCGACGGAGGGCTGCTGGCTGTCCGTCTGCGGGCTCGGCACGCGCTCGACCACGCAGTGCACCGGCAGCGTCTTGCCTGCGAACGAACGAGAGGACGTCGCGCGGTCAAGTACGCTGCACAAAAGAGTGGCAGTTTGGGGGCTAGTAGGTTATAACACGCGACGATTGTTATAGCGCCAGAACAGAAACGACGACGATAAAGAGACAAGAAGGACACGAGCACTAAATAAAAAAAGAAGAAAAGCGCTCAACGTTTTACTACGGTTTGACTAAGGCATCGACTCTCGACCGTAATGTTCGACAGGGGGCGGAAACGCAATAAGAAAAAAAAAAACGATTGGTCAGCGTCTTTTGTTGCGCGTTAGGAGAAGCAACCCGACGAGGCCGAAAATTTTATCCGGAGATTGTATACACTCTATGCGGAGTCTCTGGTAACCTGATGCGCACTTCAAAGAGATCCGCGTGAGTCACGCAGATTTAATTACAACGTTTCCTTTTTTTTTCCAGGTGGGTGAATCTAGGGTGATCGTCAAAGACAAGCCATAGCTCACCGATATATACGAGCTGAGGCCAGTAGGCCTCACCTCGTCTATATCGAAGAGCTACTAATACGCGACCACAGTGCTAAGAGATGGCGACGATTCTGGAACAGAATAAACGGCGAGATCACGGCTATAAAGAGCATGCCAGCGCATCGACGACAGTACTGGCGTTCTAAATTGCATGCTGCCATTAACAACATTTACCGAGCAACATTGTAAATCACGGTCTTGTGTCGTATTATCACCTGTTACAACGACACGACAACAGTCCGTTTTCTTTATTCTTTTTTTTTGTTCGTACGCGCTGTGTCTCACGGTAGCGTCACGGTCACGATCGTGACGTCACTCCATAAATCGTTCAAGAGCCGGGCCAACGCGGTACTGCAAGTTACCGCATTTATTCTAAAGTAACGCGAGCTCCTTTCCACATTTTCGCTATACCTGAAAGAAACCCTCGCGTTAAAATCAAATACAAAAAAATGTATTATTTCATGACACCCTGAAAAGTCGCCTTTCGCGTTGCAATCGTTCTTGCGTTACAATCGAGGAAATACGGTATTTTCCGAACGCCTTTAATAGGCCACCACCGTGGGCTGCAAACGCTGCCGTTTTTCGTACGTGCCACGAGTAAATGGTCGGTGACAACTGTCGACTCGTGTTCACGAGAGCGGCCACACGGACACTTCACGATATCGTCCACTTCGAAGTCATCGCTGAAATGCGAAACTGGGAAACAAGTCGCGCAAAATGCCCAAGACGGCGGTGCGTTCATGGACTTAATGTAGACACGTCTACGGCGCACCGAGAAAGGGGGTTACAGCGCTTCGCGCGGAGCACCGTCGAAAGCTGCCGAGTCGATCTCGAAAAGTGAATGAACACTCGGTAGAAGGAACGAACGGGCAAGGGAACACCACAAAGAGTAGGTACGGGACAAATAAGCTGTGGCCCACAATCACCTCGATTTCGGACTGACGGCCAGCGACAGAGAAGCGAGTAGAAGAGAGAGAGAGAGAGAGAAAAAATATAATAAACGACGGAGCCCGTATGAGAGGTGAGAGAGGGATCAAGAGAGGCGGGAACTGAAGGCGCGGATGAAAGCGGAGACAGGAAGACTGCGGAGAAAGCGTCATCGACGAAAATACTAATAGAAGGACAGCGGGCGGCATCCCGTTGTCAGCGGGAGAAAAAAAAAAAAAAACTAACGCGCCGTGGTCGCGTCAGAGAGGCAAGGAGAACAAAGCAGCGCGTCCGAGATAGCAGTAATAGTAATAATAAAGCGGAGAAAGCCAGTGGATGTATGGCGAGGGAAAGTGTAAGGGAGAGAGGGGAGAGCGTCAGCCAACTAACTCCACAGAGCTCGGAGGATAACAGAGCGAAAGGAACGCGGTTAGATGACGGGATGTGAACCAAAAAAAAAAAAAATAATAAGACAAGGAGGCTCCCGGCTGATATCCGAAAAGACACCAAGCTAAACACAAATGAGACAAAGCGAAATGGAAAGAAAAAAAGAAACAGACAAAAAACAAAGGGGCATTCTGGCAACGTCCTTGCCCGTCCCCGAGGGATCATCGGAGTCCGGGATATAGAGGGACTACGGAGAGGGAGGGAGGGAGGTATTGGGGAAATGTGCAGCTACGGACCAAAGCTTTCGTGCGTTGCCGAGACACAGGAATCGCTAGCAGGCGGCAGCAGCCGCGAAGAGTTACGGGCGAAGAACAAAGAGAAAGTGAAAAAAGTATCAGTAGGCGTTACATCAATCCTCGGTATCTGGGAAGGCTTCCTCGTGTTCCGGCCGCTCTCGGGGCTCCTTTCGGGAAGACGCGGATAATCCACGAGGCTTCACCGGGAGCGGACGTCGCGCAACTAAGAAATCGAGGGAACGAGAACGCAACCGTCGGCTGCCAGCGCAGCACAGGTGAGCGGCTACGCAACGTGAACATCAATTACAGCACGCGGCAGCTACGGTTTCTGGAAAACGGGGGAATAGCCGAGAAACCGTACAGTTCCGGCAAATAGCTATTTACTGCGCATATAAGATAAAAAAAACAGCGGGAGAAGCATGAAACAAACTATCGTAAAATATACACGCTACACAAAGGAAGGTCACCGTTCGGAGGATGGGGTTAAAATAGGGGGAAAAGAAAGGCAACGTGGGCCCTGCACCTGTATGCAGCTAAGTGCGACACCTCCGCAGGGGTTCACAGGGGAATGGCATGAGGAGGTATTAAAAGGGATAGAGTGAGAGAAGAAATATATTTGGACGCGGTCGAAGGGGCCCGAAGACGGGGCACCATTCCGCGAGAGCTACGCAAGAGACTATAGGAGATCGCAGATGACACAACCGCTCAGCATGGACACAAGCGTGCTTGTACATTCACTGGTCCACTGACAACCTGGTCAACTGACCCCGTAGTGAAAAGCTCCGAAAACTGGCCTTTACGCATTGCTCCTCCACCGAAATGCGACCACTACGGCGGGGATCGAACCGGACACCTTCGGCTCAGCAGCTGAGCGTGGTAACCATACACTGCACCACCACGGCGCACACCAAGCCCCGGTTAAGGCGAAAGCTTCACGCGATTCGCGAGCGAAAGAATGCGGCGTCGGCGGTGTGAACACGAACGGTACCAAAGAAATCGCTAATTTAACGAGTTGGATTTAACAGCCAATCATGCCAAGGGAAGCATACACTCTTAGAAAAAAGGTGGTAGTACCCACTAACTATGGGGTAGTAATAGTTTGTCACATATGTTACAACCCTGGCCGTAAGCGCAGTTAGTAACGACGAGCGAGGTAACGGTTACCACCTTTTGCTGTTACTACCAGCATTTAGTAACTGTTGCTACCCTAGCCGTTACCACTGAGACGTCCCCACTACGCCACCGATTACCAAAGAGAGGGAAGACCACTCAACCCCTTGTCTATCCGGTTCCCTCTTGGCTATGTGTCTTAATCACTTCTCACATACAGGGATTCGTGCTGGGGCCGGGAAGTAAGAGACGCTACGACCTGTTTCTGTTTACTGATTCACTTAATTTATCACTAACTGCAAACATCGTATACCCGCGTACGTCAACCACTACAAAAAAAAATTATAACGCATGATTTAGACACTCGCGACGTTCGACACAGGGCAGGCACATAAAGAAGGTAACTTCAACAATACAAGGGTATGCATATATAAAGAAAACACACGACGACACGAATGATGAAGTTATCAATTAATAAAACCACGCAATATCTCAACACGCTACCTCCCTTCCCGCAAAGCTAATCTAAATAAGGTGCATAAAATCCGTCTCACGAAAGGACCATGTTGACGGGGGCCTCGGAGCTGGCTGTTCAAGTCGGGGCTCAGGGCTTCTTCCTGGGGTCATTGTCCAATTCGTCATCGTCTTCGTCATCGTCGCCTTCGTCATGCCTCTCGGTGATTTACATCTTAGTCCTCTTTCGTAACGCTCCATTCACTCGCCTCCTATCTCTAACTTTCATTCCTCATCGTACCTTCCTTGCCCCTGTCATCATTTCATCGCCTCTCATCGCTATCTCTTCGCACCGTTATCTTCCTTTTCCATTCCGTCTCTCTACCATCTCGAGCTCATTGCATCGTATCTTTGACCCCCTCGTATCGTCTCGTAGTCCCTTTTTGTAGGACCCGACTCCGCCCTACCGGGGCACCAAACCAGTCGCCACTCCAAGCGGCATATCTTTTCTTCTCAGTCCGAGTGTATCCTCTTCGGCGGCCGCCCCCGCGGCCCATACCAGTACAAAACCCTCTCCCAAACAAAGCCGAGCAAGTAACAATGTACAAACTCAAGCCTCAGAGAGAGAGATGGGCGAGCTGTCCCAAGACACTTTAATTACGGGCGAACAATGGTCCCGATGCTTCCGACAAAGTGCGTCGCCTGTAATGGCCAACGTCGGGAGTTTGCAGTGTTGTGCCGAAAAGTTTTCGGCCTAACCAATTTCCCCGGTTTCTGGTACTTGATGAGCCGATGTCCAGAACGAGTCTCGGCGTATCCATGCAGCTCGGTGTCTCCCGCGAAATTCTCCGAAGTCGCCGCTTTTTCGTCATTCAACGCCGCGGGTAGCCATTCGCGCAGAACGCAGTAATGAGCCCTGGAGCCACGGAGGCTGACGGAAAGTCAGGTCGGACCCGGCACAGGCGCTGCGGCAGGATCGCATTCCCCGAACCAACAAAAGGTGCTCTGCTGCTCCCCCATGCCACAAATCTGAAGGGTGCGCGCGTATTATCTCCACCTTACTCTGTCACACTGTCTGTAGACGACAAGGCGCCGCCCGGTCCTCGCATTTGCGCGGGGGAGCCCGCGAGAATAGTAGAAATGATCTTTCCCGGTACTCCACTCAGGAACGACCATTCGTTACACCGAAGGTTTTCTTTTCCTTTTTTTTTTATGCGTGGGTTTGAGAAACGACCGTAAACATTTTGAAAGGACTGGGGTTCAGTCCGTGTTTGCGGGGACGTTACACCACCAATGGATAGTAACTTTTAAAGGTTTCAGGAAAAAATTAG